GATTTAATGACTCGTAAATGTAAGTACACATTGATGGCCTAAGACACAAAACGAGCAGTTTGTGTGAGAAAACGAACAGTATTTATATCGTTTTTACCTCTTGTAAACACAGCCACGTCCAAGTGATCTGTGGGCGCGGGCGCGGGCGCTTCGGTCTTTTCCGGCAAGCGCCGGAAGTGATCTCTCGCGCGTGTACGTCATGTTTTTAAACATTAAATCATGTTTAATTTGGACTTCTCTGTGCATGCTCTTTGAGGAAGTGACCATAGACCTGCATTATATGACTGACAAGAACGGTTTGACCTAAAAATATCAAAATTGAAACTACTGCAGAAACAAAGACACCTACATCTTGGATGACCTTGAGGTAAACTAAAACATACCACAAATTAATTTCAAAGTGAACTATCCCTTTAAATGCTTTCACTTCTACTGAGTGCCGTACCATAGGCATGTTGCAAAGCATTCATTAACATTCATGAAAAGGGGGGTGACATGACAAGGCAGTTAACAGGTTAAAAGACGTTTAATGAAACCCAGCTGCTCTTTGTGCTGGTGTGTGGTCTCAGATTAGATTAGATTAGATCAGATTATGCAGTGTTCAGTGTAACTGAGGAGGCTGTGGAGCTTAAATCGTGACGAGATAACGATAACCCAAAGGCACGCGCGGGCGCTGCTATCAAACAACTTGACACGTCAAATGCAACTTATGCCTGCATACTAGACTAGTGCACCGCATACTGCATACTCACTCTCAGAGTCGCTGATGCCGCTGTCGCTGACGCTCGCGCTGCTCCGTCTCTTCATGGTTTTCAAGTGTTCATCATATCTGAAGTGTCTCTTTTCCACGGGGGACGTGAAATCCTCAATGACAGCGTCGAATTCACACAATACGGCGTTCAGACCGTCATCATCCTCAAGAAATGCTAGAAAATGCACGCAAAGTTTGTTTCAGTCTGGACACAGAATAAGTAGGCTATATTATGATAATATGATTCTTGCACTGGTTTAGTAGGCTACGTTTAGATCTGAACTAGTCGTAGGATACTTAATTTTACTATTAAAATGTATTATTAAACATTAGACTTACATTTGCTGTGTGACTTTATCTTTGGAGACTTCATCTTCTACGCTGCTTTAGTGTCCAATTCCGAAATATCCGATATAAGATAAAATTCCTTCTGTTTCCCCTTGTTAACGCACACTGTGTCTGAGCTCGTGCGGTCGGTGGGGTTGTTTTAAATGTGTCCCGGCTCCGGGAGGGGGCGTGGCCTGACGGAGGCGTGTCGGACGTGGGAAACGCGTCGCCAATGAGACGCTCGCGCTTGTTTTAGCCCTCCGTGTGAGTTACAGGGACTGGCGTCATTCACTCCTGAAGTATGTGTTTGTAAACAGCTACTGTGACACATGCACGACATCAGTGATGCTTTATTTTTAACCATAACTCCATCCTGGTCAGTGGTCACTCTTCATTTTGCGATGACTTCACTTGTTGCAATGTTTGACCAGCAATAGAGTAATAATGTTACAGGAAAAATGCTTGCAAAGTGTGTAATGTAATAGCCTACGGAATGTAAATATATCTCAAAATGCATTGCGGTTCTAAAAGCCCTTTGGAATGTCCACATCTGAGTGTGTCTCCATATACTTTTCGAAAAAGTAAAATTATTCATACTTTGTTTCATCTAATATATTAATAACAATAGTGACATTTGTAAAGTTTTGGAGAATAGGCTACAGGTAGAATCAGTCAATTTACTTTGCTCAGTTTTTTTCTTAATTAAAATCCACAGACACATAGGACATAAAGTAATACAATTCTTAAAATATAAATGTTAAAATATAGCCCAATATTAAAGTTTAAATAAGAGTTAAAAACAAGTTTAAATAGGTATATTTGATCAATGGGTAACACTTTACAATAAGGTTTCATTAACATGAACTAATAATGAACTGCACTTTGTTCATGTTAATTTCAACATTTACTAATACATTAAAATAAAATGTTGTAGCCTATTTGTTAACATTACTGTGAACTAACATGAAAAACAAACAAAATAAACAGCTGTATATGTAACAACAAATATAGTAACAAATCTATTGCTCATGGTTAGCATGTTTAGTTCATGTTAATACTAATGTTAACGAATGAAACCTTATTGCAAAGTGTTACTGATCAATGATATTATAATATACTGTAGCCTATATGGAAATAAAACCAAATTATCAATAACCAATCCCTTTTCTTTTTTCTATTCCCCAAAATAATGTATTTTTAAAAGATGATTATGATAAATATTCCAAAAGTACTTGGTGCTTTACCAAATAATGTAATATTTTGAATGTAACTTAAGGTAAACTTGTAAAATTGAATAGAACTTTCTTGATTGTATCACTTTTTATAAAAATGCATTGTGTGTGTGTCTGTGTGTATAACCCTAACTTTTTTTTTAGTGTTTTAGCTTTTTACTCTTATTTAGGTGTTAAATTCAAAGGATCCCCGTGTCAAGTTTAATCATTGTCCTGCTGTTGTCATTCATTCATAAAACCGATCTGGTCCAAGTTAAGTTCCTGCAGACATCTGGTGGTGACTAAATGAATGTGCACTCATGTTATTCACTCATGGCAATAAGATTAGATTCAGATACAGAACCTTTTTTTATGGCCAGGCCAGATGTGTTCACATGTCATATTGCCATCAATACTTGATGTGCAATAAGCACATAAACGGCAGGTTATGCGAAAGCACAGAAATCTTTGATTACAGGCCAAACAAGACATGAAAACATTTCCTACCTTCACCACAGGCAGTTTAACCGTAAGCCAGACAATGTTTTTGAGGCCTACACTTTTTAAATTGAAAGGAAGTCGCATTTCTTCTTAGTGTGAGGAACATTTTGAAAGTCTAAAGTGCTATTTTCCATTACAAAGAACCTCTCTTTTTAGGAGTGCAACTGCTAAATCATTCTGCTTGTTGTTGTTTTTAGTGCGGGGTGTGGGATTTATCAGTTAAAAAAGAGTTCTTCACACCTTTGGTGGTGGAGTTAACAGGTAGACACATGGTTAAACAAGACATGTGTTTGCAGCTGCACTTGCCTGCTGACTTTAGGGTTTAAATGCGCATGGAAGGTGTTAAAAGACGACACTTAGAGTCTGAGAGGCTGAAAACTGCTCAGTTCACAAAATAAAAAGTTTTCAAGGATTTGCTGAATGTTGCTGTCAAAAAAAAAACCAACAATAGCAATTTTAATGAGTGATTTCCATTATGACTATATATATATATATACAGCATTTAATTAGAAAAATATAGTCACTATAGCAATTTAATGACTATTTAACATTTTTATAATTTCCGTGACGTTTCCAGGCTTTTAAATGTCCAGAATCTCCATTACATTGGGAACAGTCCCAGACTAAAATGCATGTTTGAGCTGTTTTAACTGAAAGCAACTTGCACTGAGATATCTTAAATATGTCAGCGCCATTGTTTTGTCTCAAGATACACATCAGTAATGATTTTTTTATCTAAGGCACTTTTATAAAAGCTATTAAATGTTCTAATTGAACTATGGTCTAATCCTGGCTTAATCTAAACCCTGTATCTTTGACCCTGATCACAACTGTTATAAGATGTATACATTTCATAAAAAAATAATTACTTATTGCACATTTTATTTTCATATTCACTTCCAAACACATCCGAGAGTCAATCCAAACTACACAATGACAACATATTTCTCTCAAGTCCCAAAAACATTATACATGATGTCAAATAATCAAGACAAACTTTAGACATGATACAATCTCAATTTAAAGTGCAATACAGTCCCGGTTTTCCAGAATGCTATGGTTGTCAAATCAAAACAAAAGATTGAAATCAAGCCAGTTAGAGATGTGCTGGAGTCTCATTGATGCAGGGATTTGCTTGTAAAAGACATTAAACATCACTAATATGTTAGAGGTTTAAGCGCACGTTTTGCAAATATTTCACATTGAGGCTGAAATATAAGTGCTCTCATTTAGTTAAGATTAAGGGTGTGAAGTTTTTGTCCTTGTTTTTAATCTCAATTGGTTTCAATGCTTATGACGCTCTGAATGCTTTTGGCAGTGGCGCCCACTAGTGTTCATACTGGAGTCAGCTAAAGCTTTAGTAATGCATTACACAACTGTCCATTTCTCTCTGGTTCAGTTCAAATCACGCTTGCATAATATATATTTTTATATTTCTAGTGCAAAAATAATAGTAATTTTTCTGTATCCGTAAACATATCAGAAAGCTCATGGTGCACAAGAATTAGGGCCATTCTGATCGTCAGGCATTCTCCAGATTGCCTTCAGAATTTTAAATAGACTATATAGCAACCTTGGAATTTTCACAAAATAGCCATAACCATTAAATATGACATTGAAAAAAGCATGCAAAGTTATTACAGACAGAAAATGTTATAACAGGCTCCTGAGTCGAGTCATCATGTCATTGAGCAGGTTTCTGGAGAGTTACAAATGCTCTTAAAGGGATAATTCACCCAGAAATGAAAATTCTGTCATCATTTACTCACCCTCAAGTTGTTCCAAACCTGTATGAGTTTCTTTCCTCTGCTGAACACAAAAGAAGAGATTTTAAAGAACGCTGGTAATCAAACAGTTGACTGTAGCCATTGACTTCCATTGTATTTTTTTCCTACTATGGAATTCAATGGGTGCCGTCAACTGTTTGATTACCACCGTTCTTCAAAATATCTTTTGTGTTCAACAGAAGAAAGAAACTCATACAGGTTTGGAACAACTTGAGGATGAGTAAGTAATGACAGAATTAAGATGTTTGGGGGAACTATCCCTTTAAATAATAATATGCCGTAATAGGGCAGGTACAACAAACATCACTTGCTTCATAATATGAGGTTTAACAAAACAAACCCCCCGATTGATCCATTGTATTTGTAAACTGAACGTGCACCAACTGAAATCCTGTAGACACACTCCTCTGTAATCACTCTTTCTGAAAGCTGAGTACACCCTCACATTTTCCAATAAACCTAAATTATTGCATGGAACTGACTATACGGGCCAAAGTGTATTAGCATAAACAGTGTGTCTTCTCCTGTTGACCAGCGAGCTGTATGAAGCTGCTCTCGCTTGGCTGTTTCAGTCTCAGAGGCTTGTGATTCTTCAGCCTGTAGGCCAACGTGAGGAAAATGGCATCTACGTGCTCTTTTTCTGCAGGGTCTCTTGCAGATGTCTCAAAAAGAGGAAAGTTGTAGCTATCAGCCAGTCGCTGAGCTGAAAACGTGGACACTTCTCTCGTTCCTCTTAAGTCACATTTGTTCCCAACTAGGATGCGGGGTACCATGGGAGGGACTGAGTGCCGGACACACTCCTCAATCCAGTCCGGCAGACTCTCGAATGAAGCCAGACTGCTCACGTCATACACAAAGATGATGGCGTGGACATTGCGGTAGTAATGCTCAACCATACTCTTCCTGAAGCGCTCCTGTCCAGCCGTGTCCCAGATCTGCAACTGAGAATACAGTTTACATCATAGTAGACAACAGTAAAGAGAAGAACAGGGCTAGTTGTCATAAAGGCTTTATCTAAGCGGTTTTGGGTCCAAAGTCCTATTATACACGTGTAGAAAATCAGCACATCAGTGAATTGACATGCAGTTAATTCAATTATTTGAATTATATATTTAACCAATACTGAACTAGCCCCACTGTACCCTGTTCAAGATTACTACTCTGTGTTTATTAACCTCCAGATGCTGGCAGAGTCAAAATACTAAAAATTATTTGCACCAACATTTGTTTAACCAATAATTAACTAATCTTTTTTTTAACCACTACATTAAAAATATTTAAAATGGTGTTTGTGCACCACTGAGCAGACTTCACCCAGAAATGAACAGTCAACAACAAAACACAGTGAACCCATTGTGGAGAAGAATGTAAATAGTTGTTATTCAAGGTCAAAACGCTTTTTGCAGCTTTTCATATCTGTGAAATAAACTCTACGGGTCCTTACCTTTATGTATTCTCCATCAAGTTGCAGGGTCCTCTCTCTAAAATCTACTCCTATTGTTGCCTCGGGGTTTTTGAGAAATTTCCCACCGCAAAACCGGTAAGTTAGGCAAGTCTTTCCAACATTTGAATCCCCAATAACGATAATTTTAAACACCCTCGACTGAGGACAGTCATATTCCTGACACGAGTCATTCGCGAGACTGTCTCTTGTGTAAATCGTCGCGAATTCATTGCTGCCCGTTGTGTTTTCTATTGCCATAGCTCCTCTGATACACGAAAAATATCGCGAGAGGATAAGAACGAGAGCTTAACGTGAACTCCCATGACCTGGCTTCAGCCATTCTCTGCTTCAGCTTTGTTCATTATACAGGCCTATAAAGTACTCACTTCTTTTTATATATATCAAATGTAAATTTATGTCCCTTTTACACTTCATTTTCCTGGTTAAATAAACATTACATAAAAAGAGATTCCAAATACAATTCTATTTTGTATTTTTACACTTAATATGTAATATTCTTTTTATTAAAACCAAGTATAAATTTAATCAAGTTAGTGTTTTTACGCATTTTTACATTTATTCCAAAATAATGACTAAAGGAAATAACAACTTAAACAATAAATATTACTTGTGAACTAATGTTCAGCTTTTCTTTTTGATAGTCAACTTATTTTCAGCAGTCATCAAGCTTGTAGACACTTGTCAAAGACAGACACAGACACGAAGATGTACCTTTAATTTCCCCAAACTGATTGCTCACTAAAAAAAAAAACACGGTCATCATGTCTTCAGGCCATTTCAAGTTTGATTTTGACGTGACATAAAGCGGTGATATCTAAATGGCTGAGTTGTTTACTTACTTTTGAATTAGTTTGAATTTAGAATTAGTTGAATTAGTGGTGCAGGTATGACATCACTTTATAGGCCAAAACGCGGAAGCGAATTAGCATTTTAGCACTTCCGGTTCCATCGTCCCGAAGTCAATGGGTTTTTTGAATGGGGTTTTGGTTAATAAGGTCTGAGGTGAACACAAGCTCAAGACACTTTCAAGTTTTATTCCACGACATAAAATTCAGCAATATTATCCCCCATTTTTTTAAGCTGGTACGTGTCTTAAAAAAGGCGGTTGCTAACAAGTGGCTAATGGGACTACAGAGGCTGTCGAGGAGAGTAAACGTCATCACGCGAACAAGTAAACTTAGTCTGTAGCATCGTTATGGTTATAATTGTGCTCTTATAAACTATTCTAACTCAAACGTTCTAGGAAAATGTTTTTAGATAAAGATTGAAAGGGTTGTCAGAAGCTTAGCGATTGTGACGCTGAATTCGTGGGACTGTGGTGCAGTTCGTTTATAGCTTACCTTTAGCTTTTTACTTCTGGCGACTGCATTTCGGCTTCAAATTTCATAAAAGTTGTGTTCATCTGTGATAATTATCTTGATGGATCAAACATGCAAGTATCATAAACTTTTGTTGATCACAGAGCTTGTTTTTAGCGATAATCCAAAACCCTATGGGAAAATCCTATTGGGTTTTTCTCGAGGGAATCGGCGTGATGCTAACTGCTGGTCGGCCTACAAAGTGGCTGCTGTAACCCTACTGTATAAAAACAAGTGACTTTTACAACTTTTGAAATCACATTTTGTAATATTTGCGGTTTTATTTTTGTAACTTGTAAAAATGTCTGCTATTGAAAAAGCAATACATAAAAGGATTTATGTATATAAAGCATAACAGAATTTATTAAAAGACCGAAACTTATAAATTAGATTACATAAACAAAATAATTTAATAGACAACAATAACATTTAGACAACAATAAAAAAGAAACAAACACAAACAGGTAAAACCAGGGTGGTACGATTGGGCTAAAAGCTTGAAAATGTATATGTTGTAAATTTGAGAGGCTATGAAATGCCCTAAGTTATGTGGACTAAATGGTCCGTCCCTCCTGTCCTGAAGTGGTTCATTTGAACACTGTATCTCATCTTGCTATCACAAGTGTATAAAAAATTGTACCAATAACTTTGCCCCCTAAATCATTACAAGTACTTTATATTTGAAGGAGTTTTAATCAAAACAAACCTTATCACACCTTTCACATTAATCGCCCCATCAATCTTCAATAAAAATATTAAGTATTTTTCTGATCATGACTTTGGGACCTTTTTGGGATAGTTCACCCAAAAATGAAAATGTTTTCAAAATTAAATCACCCTCATGTTGTTCCAAACCTGGAACCTGTTGAACACAAACAAAGCTATTTTAAAGAATACTGGTTGACGTAGCCATTGATTTTCCATAGTAGGTAGGAAAAAAATACCATGGAAATCAATGGCTACCTGAACTATCCCATTAATAGGGCCTGTTAGCCTGACTGTACCCTGTTCAAGATTTCAGCGTAACACTGCTCTTTGTTTACTAACCTCCAAAGGCTGGCAGAGTCAAAATACTAACAATTCATTGTAACTTATCATAAACCTGAGACAATGTATCATTCACTGGCCATATAACATAAAGGTAAGCCGTTGTTTAATACTCATAGTACAAACAGCATGAATTTCAAGTAGGTTTTGCCCGGCCGCTGTGGCGTGAGCCACTTCAAACCAGGCTAATAATTTAAACACCTGTATCTCAAAATACTTTGCATGTTTACATTTGGCTCTGTTATGCACACTTCCAAGTTTGACACTACACTCTAAAAAAAATGCTGGATCAAATTTGGATCAAATATGGACAAACCGAGCCATCAGGTTACTTAAATTACATATTTGACCTAAATTTGGGTTAAAACAACCCTGTATTTTTTTTTTGAGTGTAGTTACTGTGAGAACTGCAAAGACTACCAGTTCTCATCTGAAAAGGAGCTTGAGCTGCCGGAGTCCGAGTCTGCATCCGTCAATCCATCGAAGTCCCAGTCAGCACTGGAGCCGCTGTCGTCATCCTCCTCCGAGATGAAATTATGACCGGACCCCAGGCATGCAGTATATACCCGGGTGGAGAGGCTTATGGATCCGAAGGAGGAACCAAACATGGTGGCTACATTTTTCCACGAGTCCATAGTGGGATCATATTCATGTATAATAAGCCTGTTTTTGTTGTGATGCACTATTGCAATAGTTAGAAGCAGCAGTTTGCTGTCGTGTTGCACAACTTGGTAGTTGAGAGCACTGCTGTCAATAGGAATGTCTCCGATCCGCCTCCATTCTCCCCGAGCAGGATTATACGCTTTGACCACAGGGATATCGCACAAACAGATAATCTGCTCCTGGAAAACACAGGCTTTGTGGAGTTTACTGCGTTTCAGAGAGCCCCGCTGGAGCCAGTGGTTTTTCTTCGGCTCGTAGCTGAGCATCCTTCTCTTGTTTACCACATAAAGCCGCTCGTTTACCGTCACAACCTGCATCTTTCCCAAAGAATGAGGCAAAGGGGCCACAAAAACCCACTGGTTCCTTTGAATGCTATAGCATTCTACTTCCTTGAGTCTGGCATCCGATACCGGGTCTCTGCCACCCAAAATGTACAGGTGCCCGTTGAGGTAGCCGATGTACGAGTGCATTCTTCTGAGAAGTCGTTCCGCAAGCTCCTGCCAACAATTTAACAAGGGATTGTAGACCCAAAAGTGCTTGGACAGCTGTGATGCGAGATACAGATTGTTATCCAGTGTGGAGCAGACCAAAAATGTCTCCATGGGAGAGTGTTTGAAGTTCTGATTGGTGAGGTTAATGACCGGGGACGCCATTGAAAAGATGTCCTCCGTGTAGGGATCATAGCACATGAAAGGCTCATTTGGCCGTCCAAAAAAAAGCACCATTTCTTTTGCACTCTTGCCAATTCTTTGTTTGGCAGCATGTACACCCTTTGAAATCTTGGCGCTCTGCTCATCGGCAGCCCCATCTAAAACATCCAAAAGATGTTTCTTTATAAAAGGCTTTGATTTAAGGCCATCTAGATAAACCCTGTCTTTCTCGGAAAACAAAGACCACCGCACGCATCTGAGGACCTGCAGTGCAACTTCTGCATCCACATGCAAATTATTCTCAATCCACTGTATTGCAAACGAGCACACTTTCAGTTCGCAGTCCACATCCAGAGAATCCAGTGTGAGGATCTCTTTAATCTGCTTCAGGTCCAGCTCACAAAGCTCTCGCACACTGGTACTGAGCTGGACAAAGTTCTTCGCAATAAACGCTTGAGCCTTGCTCTTCAACTCCAGATTGTCAAAGGTGTCGGCGAACTTCAAAATCCCTGCACAGTTAGAAAGGTCCAGCCTTCTTGTCATGAAGTTAGCACAAGCTTGCCGAATATACTCCAGCTGGAGCATGTTTGCAGATGCATAAAGCCTCTGCACGTTGCCCTCAGTGATTGACACTTTGCCAGTGTAACAGTAATCAATAATGACAGCCATTGAATCGGCGTCCACTTCGTGAATGGTGACGTTTCTCTGCGTGCTCTCGTACAGTCCTCCTGTAAACATGCTCTTGAAATAAGGGCTCGCTGCTGCCAGTATATTTCGGTTGCACTGGAAAACTTTCCCAGCGCGAGAGGAGCAACACCCCGAAGAAACGCTTCGGTCCTCTGACTCCGGGTCAGACTCCACTTCGATAGTCACGTCGACTAACAACTGCGAGTCGTAGAACAATTTCAGCTCTTTCATCAAACTTGAAGCGTGATTCGTGTCCTCGAGCTCCTCCGGACCACAGAAACAGTTCACCGAAGCCATATTGTCCCGTTTTCTCCGTCCTAACGCAACTAAATCCCGTCAGTGAGCGGAAGCGGCATTAAAACTCACTCAGCTCTGCTGTTAGTGTCATGAAAACAACGAGCTATGATGACTATGAGCTGCATGCACCGCTTCTCTGTTGCCTGACAATGTAGCCATGTTTCATGAATGAAACGCGGTCCTTTTTGACTGTACGAAATGCTTTTCTGGTTAAACTATCGGCAGCGGTGATGTCCGTCCCCTTTTAATTTCATTTCGTTCGGCTTTTGATCTTGAGACATCGACGAAGCATGTCTCACTCAAGCTTGCTACCGCTGAGCTGTAACACACGGCGCTGATTGGTCACATCGGCTGTGTCTCCAAGCATGTTGAGCTTCCTACATAGACAGCATTTATAGGCAGCGTAAGCCAGTGTTGCGAAAAATGCTGCCTACGGCTATGAAACCCACAACCTTTCTAGGCAGCTCACTAGGACTTGAGACGTGGGCTAGTCATTCTCAGCGCTCTGTATTAAGTTTGGTTGGCCTGCTAAAGCTTTGTTCAGAATAATAGCCTCAACATATAAGATTTAGTTTCAAATATTATATATGTGTTTTAAAATAGCAATTTGTCTTATTGACAATTTGACAGATTAAAGAAGCCTATAATTTATGACAACTGTAGATTAAAAAAATCGAATTAATTTTATATAGGCTATGTATAGCCTATATTTCATTAAGAAGGACTGCATTTAAGAAGGATTTCTTATTTTCATTTTCTTAACACAATAGGCTACAGTTGTCAGCCAATTTGATTACATTAACATGGTAGCCTGTGCAGGACAATATTATATCGCAGATTAAATTCACAATTCCAATATTATATGTAATGCAAGCATGCTGATGTCGCTGGGATCTCATTATGCTGCTCATTTCAATGCCAGGAAGAAAAGAGAAGAATAAAAAGAAACAAAACAAACAAACAAACAGCTAGCTGAGAACTCAGCAGAAACAAGACGATGATCTCTGCAAGCAGTGTGTTTATGTTGTCTGCACCCCACACATACAACACTTAAAAGAGAAGGGTTTAGGACAATATCACCTGCTGTTCGCATCTCAAATTTTGTTATATCTCTGTATATACTGAGTGAACCATTCACACATATATTGTTAAACATTCTAAATCTAAAGATTTTGGGTCTCCAAGCAGAGCAAACACTGCAAACACTTCTGGTCCTCAATGCAAGGCTTGCTTGTGCTTGTGCTAGATTCATATCTGGAATAATGAATGGGCTTTTGATGACTTCTTTTCATCACCAAAAGGAGCTTCCCTTTCACCTCCTCATTCTTTGATATCTAACACAAACGTTAAACGTAATTATTAACGTAAAATCAACAAACAACAACAAAAAAGGAGCATATAAGCATAATAATAACAGCAAGGTAAATTGTCCCAGGCTCTCGGCCCAGCCCGGGTTCATACCACAGTAACTTTAATAAAACTTTAATACATTAGCTCAATCATGAACATGAAGTCCCGTCGGATTGCTGTGGAGGTGAAGACGTCAACTCCTGATTCCACGCTCATTCACGGCATCATCAAGCTACGCCTTTGTTATTGTTTTGAATAAATGACCTCCAGCGCCAAAACATACATACTGTGCCTTTAATTTTATATTACTGATTAAAGCAGTCCTGTGGTTCCACAGCAATTTGAGCTACTTTGTCATTCAGACATACCTACATCAAGAATCAGCATATGAATCTCAACAATGGTGATAATCAACAAAAAGTTTCACTACACATGAGATCAATGAATCAAGAGACTATGTGATCATTATGTCATCATCAATACACAACAATCATCATCTAATGGTCAATCATCTATTTATTAATACCTTAATTAACATATTAACTGCAACATTGCTTCAGTGTTAGTTTTTAACACTCTGAGTTGACCCCTATAGACAGGAGTGTTAACATTTTGGGTTTTGCTGCACAAAATAGAATTGTATTGGTTGTTGTTGTTGTTTTTTTACTTTCTTTCTTTCTTTCTTTCTTTCTTTCTTTCTTTCTTTCTTTTTTGATAATAAAAGTAATGAGTTGTGGAGTGCAATAAATGAGGAGACAAGAGACGGAGATGCGTCGAGTCAGCTTTACTCTCCACTTGAATATATCAGAACTGTACAGCAGTGAGATCGACACAACAACACAACGTTAACCGGAACTCTATTTTGGTTTCCCTTAAAGGCATAGTTCCTTAGTGAATGTCTCTTATTTGTGGGTCACCACACAGTATTTATTTAACCTGAAAAAAATGTGTCAACAAAAGTGTATCTACATGAATTTGCTTTTTCTCTCTCTCCCAAGCTCCAGCGAATTTTTTTTTTTCTGTTCTGTTTTTTTTCTTTTTCTTCTGTCCAGTTTTACAGTAGGTGTTACATTGCCAGGGCAACAAAGTTGTAAAAATAAATACAACTTCACATATAAATGTTTTTTTAAAATAATAAAATCATGTTAATATGTTTTATGTCCTGTTGCTCTACTATTGAAACAGTAATTTCAATGTATTCATTCATTTATTTCAATCATTCAGAGTCTTAATATATTTTAAGAATGACTTAATTTGCCATGCCAGGGAAAGGAAATTAAATTTAGAAGTTGTATAGAAATTATAATAACTTTTATATAACCTATATTGAGTGTTTTAGAAAACAGTACTTTCATAATAATATGCACACTATCAATTGCAATTGAAAGTGTGTCTTCTGCACTTTCTGGTTTTGAGATCTTATACACTGCCTGGCCAAAATAAAGCAGCACTGCAGTTTTGCCTGAACACATTAAAAGCTAGTGCTTACAACACTGACTGAGAAAGACACAGTTATGACCTTTTTATCATCAAAACAACAACACGTGAGTAAATGCAATGTGCATTTATGTATGAGTGTTTGATGTAATGACAGAAGAGTGAATTGAATCAGTTTGATTGGTAACAGGAAGAATAGTTTCATGAAGTGTGTATTTGAAAATGAACTGAATCATTAAAACTATACTAGTGAATATGTACAATGGGGTCCAAAAGTCTGAGGCCACAACGAAAATTTGGATCATTCTCAAATTAGTTGTGGCCTAATGGTTAGAGAGTTGGACTTGTAACCCAAAGGTTGTGGGTTTGAGTCTCAGCACTGGCAGTATATGTAGTGTGAATGAACAGCACTCTCATTACCCACAACTGAGGTGCCCTTGAGCAAGGCACCTATCCCAATTGCTCACTGGGCCAGCAAAAAAATAAAAAAGAAGCCGCACACTGCTCCTGGTGTTGGTTCACGGTGTGTGTGTGTGTTCAATATTCACTGTTGTGTGTGTGCACTTGGATGGGTGAAATGCAGAGCATATGGGACACCATACTTGGCTACACATAGTGTCATCTCACTTCACTCAATTATACTGAATAAAATTAACTACGGTTTTATACAAACTTGTGGAGTTTTTTTCAAATAATTTTCTGATAATAGAGTGCAACAGTTGGGTTCCAGAAGTAAAAACACCGTTCATTTTCTCCATAAGGAAATTGATTTTAAATGGTAACTTATAAACCTTTAAAGACAGACCAACTGTGAGCTACGAGGTTGTTAATCGATGGTATTTGCTTTTGCTGAAGACCTCAGCCCACATTATTTCAGCTTATTTTTAAAATAATCATGTTTAACACTGGAATTCCTGGTGAAAAATTACCTATGATGCTGTACAGAAAATAACACCGAAAAAAAGCAACATACGCCAAAAGATCTTCTTAGCTAAACACACACCCATGAAGTGAATGGCGTAATCAAATCGATCAAAAGCTCTCAAAATACTAAAAATATTTGAATGAAAATGCTTATTTTTCAGTAAACTTAAAATATATAGCTTTTATATTATAATCAACATTTGTAAATGAGTAGTTTTATATTTCTCCATCGGTTTCAATTTGTTTATGTTGTTCGCAATGCTTCATTGTAGTTCTTTCCCCCACTAAAGCCGTTAAGTACACATTCTTGTACCTCTGTATTTTTGTCCGATTTTCTAATTCTTTTTTTGCCTCAAATCAAAGTTTAAAGTGTTGTGATTCACCTCATAGCTGATTTTCTTGGTTCATGGCTTATTACTCTTTAAAGGGTTAGTTCACCCCAAAATGAAAATTCTGTCAGTAATTACTCACCCTCATGTTGTTCCAACCCCGTAAGACTTTCGTTCATCTTCGGAACACAAATTAAGATATTTTTGATTAAATCTGAGAGCTGGATCACTCCTCCATAGGCTTCTTAAAGGTGCTTTATGTAACTTTTAGCGGCCTCTAGTGGTGATGTTTCAGATTGCAACCAAATTTTACAAGAGCGCATGTGCTCGAACTCATAGACAATACCGTCTATTACGCAAATATCTCGGCGAATACTAGACGGATTCGGCGAGCACCGAGCTCGTTGGGACCATCTAGTCGAGCTGAAAAGAACCATATAGAACCATTCCATAGTTTTTGGTGGTGTTTTCGCGGAGATATTAGCAGAAAACCATCGGGCGCGCTGCAAAATTGCGGACGCCGGTGACGTCACGATCTCAGAAGAAAATCGCTCGTATCTCTGGAACGCAAAGACCCAGAGAGCTCAAATTCGGGGGAGGAGGTCCCAGGGGAACCCTTGCTCGAACACTAGAGTGGCGGGCCTCGGGGATGCCCCCTACCGGATCGCCGTTCGCTGGCACCCTCGATTTCGAGCGGCTATAACTCGGGGAGCCGGGCGAGTTGGACCTCGGGGGTGGGCTCGTTCGAAAGGCCCCGTCCAGCACTACGAACGATTAGAGTCTTGGGAATATTGATCAAAGATTGACTGAGATATAAGCCGAAAAACGTGCGCCTTTAACCGGACGTAACTCCCTGACCGTCTACAATAGACTGTATATAAGGAGAGAGGCTCGGGAGAGCGCATGCACGTCACATCCGTTGGATTTCGCGGTAAATCCGACCCGGAGACTTCACATAGAAATAGGAATACTGGCCTTCAGAGGTAATAGCAAAACTCGACAAGTGGATCATTTTAATGTGTGATTACAACCCCTTCACACACAGGCAATAAAAAAAGGATTCATTTTAGTAGAAAAGTTACATAGAGCACCTTTAAGGGATCGAAACTGAAAAGTTATGAAAGACATCGTTAAAATAGTCCGAGTGACTACAGTGGCTCAATCTTAAGTTTATCAAGCGACGAGAATACTTTTTGTGCGCAAAAAAACAAACAAAAATAACGACTTTATTCAACTATTCATTTCCTTCTCTGTTGGCCTCGAGATTTCTTGATAAACTCTCGTCGCTTGATAAACTTAAGATTCAGCCACTGAAGTCACTCGGACTATTTTAACGATGTCTTTCATAACTTTTGGACCGGCCAGTTTCGATCCCTTAAAGGGATACTCCACTTTTTTTGGAAATAGGCTCATTTTACAACTCCCCCAGAGTTAAACTGTTGAGTTTTACCGTTTTTTTATCCATTCAGCCGATCTCCGGTTCTGGCGGTACCACTTTTAGCATAGCTTAGCATACATCATTGAAGTGGACAAGACCATTAGCATTTCTAAAAAGAAAATTACCAAAGAGTTTCGATATTTTTCCTATTTAAAACTTGACTCTTCTGTAGTTACATCGTGCACTAAGACCGACGGAAAATGTAAAGTTGCGATTTTCTAGGCTGATATGGCTAGGAACTATACTCTCATTCCTGCGTAATAATCAAGAAACTTTACTGCCGTACTATGACGCAGCGCCTGAAAATGTTGTGTTGACAGAAGGTAGCCTATTTTCAGGCGCTGCGTCATATCATTACGCCTGCTGCACTCATGGTACGGCAGTAAAGTTTCTTGATTATTACGCAGGAATGAGAGTATAGTTCCTAGCCATAACAACCTAGAAAATCGTAACTTTACATTTTCCGTCGGTCTTAGTGCACGATGTAACTACAGAAGAGTCAAGTTTTAAATAGGAAAAATATCGAAACTCTTTGGTCATTTTTTTTGAGAAATGCTAATGGTCTTGTCCACTTCAATGATGTATGCTAAGCTATGCTAAAAGTGGTACCGCCAGAACCGGAGATCGGCTGAATGGATTCAAAAACGGTAAAACTCAACAGTTTAACTCTGGGGGAGTTGTAAAATGAGCCTATTTCCAAAAAAAGTGGAGTATCCCTTTAAGAAGCTCATGCATGGAGGAGTGATCCAGCTCTCAGATTTAATAAAAAATATCTTAATTTGTGTTCCGAAGATGAACGAAAGTCTTACGGGGTTGGAACAACATGAGGGTGAGTATTTACTGACAGAATTTTCATTTTGGAGGGAACTAACCCTTTAACAAAGACGTTTTAAAGATCCCTACAGGAAAAATAAATGGAAAAAAATACTTCTGGAACCAGCGCCGCTGAAAAAGACACTCTATAGCATTTATGATAAAAAAATATTTCATGAAATTTAAAGAATACAAATTTAGATAAAAAATTTCACTAAGTGAAGGGCATTTTCACTAGTAGCCTATACGTTTCAGACTTTTAGCTCACATTCATTCATTTCTTTACCATTTTAGTTATAACTGCGATTAAGCACATTTATCCTTCTCAGGGCATCTTTGTTGTCTATGGTCTTATGGACGGTAATGATGAAGGGAAAGGCCGAGGGCAGCTCGACTCTGCGGCTGAGCTTTTGGTGACCCCAGTGCAGGCAGCGCAGTCTCTCAGCCAGGTCCCGACGGCCCGCACGCTCAAGACCGTCCTGCAGAAGCTTGGTTTTGTTCGGTTTGTCCCAGGAACGCTCATACCTATCAATCATTAGAGGTACCACTACTTAATAACAGGATGACTCTCATCTTTAATAATAATGGCTCATTTAAAAACATTAATTAACAGTTACATTTAACAGTGTGTTAGATTAATACACACCATGATTCCAGCATTCTCTGAGCCTGGACCCTCTTTTCTTTAGATGTTGCATGAAACTGTCTCACTTCATTTCTGGTGAATCCAAGTTCAAATGCTAGAACGTTCCATTCAAACCCCAACTGCTTAGCAATCTCCTGCACGGATTTCATATTGATCACAGCATCCTAAAGGACAAAGAACAGTATACATGGACATGGAGACATATTATGGGGGGCGGGGGGGACTATAATTTATAATAATATTGGGTTACACGTTTGTTTAATTATACATGTATAAGTACTGAGTAATATTTATTAACTACATGTACTTACTATAGGATTATGATTAGGGTTTGGTTTAGTTGCATGTAATTATGCACAATTTATACTAATTACAAAGGTAACTATGTAACATGTAACAAGGACACTGTAAAATAAAGTGTTACCCAATATTGTAGAGATGACTCACCTCTTGTGCTTTGTTTGGCATTTTATCCACTTATACAAGGATTCTAGTTGGTTCCACAGGCAAGAAGCAAGTGCTACAATGCAAAGTGTATCAGAACAGTACCATCTAATGTCTCTCTACATTTCACTTAAATGAGCTATTCGTGAAATTCAAATATAATTCAATTCACAATCCAAAAACACATACAAATGTGCGCTGTTGTTGCATATAGACGTCAATGTGATTGCAGTGCATGGTCAGTGGTTGTCATAGGGACTGTCCAACACAAATCTGCCTGGTTAAAAATTAAAACATCACATAGTCCACTCAAGGTTTTACATTAAGAATTAATTTAGTAGAATGTAAAGTGAGTGTAAACTTGAAAGTTATTTAAGAATTCCTTCTCAGTTTAGCATTTAAGAACATGTAGACGAAAAGGTGACACAAGTGAAAATTATATTTTCAAATATAATAGAGTTTTACAGAAAAGTTCATCATTAATTGTTTCTGATATTTATGGTTTAATGAAACACGTTACAGCAATACACGCCGGGGTCAAAAGGGACAACTGACTTCCAAAGGAAATCACTCCTTCTTACTGTTCTGAAAGAGAGAAAAAAACTAAGATATGTGACTGTATGTGCAAACTCATGTTTGACAAATGAATTGCATGTCAAAGGATGTCATAATCAGTCCAAAAGTATGCTCTGGGTTCAGGCCAAATTCCAGGGTCTGAGCTCTGTCCTTGGACAAATACATGCCAAATACACATATTCTGAATATACTGTGAACTCATGAATAAATCAGCTCAAAAAAGTACACAACTTTTGTGTTTTTGTACATTGATAACACATGAAACTGCTTTCTGTTGTACAAAAACAAGAAGATGCTGATTAGTGCACTATGCCTGCAGAATATAAAATATTTGTACAAATTAAATGATAGTAATAATGCAATGCAAAAATATTTCACATAGCAAATTGTCAAATTGAAGACAACATGCTAGAAAAAGTTCATTATTAAATTCATGTTTGCAGTTTAGCACACAATGATTTATTCATACCACAAATAAGCATGTTTTTATAGAAATGTTATACTGTATGTTATCTTAAATGAGATATTGTAAAATAAAATTGTCTTTTGATTTTCAATGGAAATTGAATGATGCAAAAGATTATACAGTACTGTGCAAAAGTCTTAGGCACGTTAGTATTTTCCCTCCAAAAAAATGGTTTTAAGCCAGTTATTTATTTATTTTGCTGTAGTGTGTCAGTAGGAAATATCAGTTTGAGTGAGCTTTTTGTACAGCCAGTATCCACACGGAGATCTGATCTCATCGAGTCTGTCTGATTACATGCAGAGGTGGACAGTAACAAAGTACATTTACTTGAGTAAAGAGTACACTTTTTGAGTATCTGTACTTTACTAGAGTAGCCTATTATTTTTTTCTGGAAACTTTTTACTTTAACTTCACTACATTTGAAAGACAAATATTGTACTTTTTACTCCACTACAATTCTGTCAAGGTCCTTGAGTAGTAGTAGTCAATCAGGGGATGATTTTGGTTGCAGGGGTTGCATTTTGGTTGGAAAATAAAGTCAGTTTGACGTCAGATTGACGTCAGAATCCAACACCAGATTGACATTAATCTCCAACGTTGGACAGACGTTGGATTTTGGTTGGAAATGAAAGGCGGGCTGACGCCAGAACCCGAATGATATCGGTTTCTGACGTCAATCCGATTTTCATTTTCAACTACAATACAATGTCTGACCAACATTGGAGATTAATGTCAATCTGGCGTTGGATTCTGACATCAACCTGATTTTCATTTTTAACGTTGGGTTTGGTCTTCTAAATGCGAATTTTTATCATTGTTTTCGAGCACACTAGCTTATAGATAAGTCAAGTCAAGTCACCTTCATTTATAAAGCGCTTTTAACAGTATGGATTGTTTCAAAGCAGCTTTACAGTGATAGGCCTAATAGAAAATACCGTAACAGATTGTTTAGACTAGACCTATACAACAGCATTAGGATAAAGTTATTGTCCAGCTAAAGTTAGTTTTGATTGATTCACTTCCGTTGCGAAGATCATTAGTTATTAACTTATTGAATGCACTTATTCAGTCTCACATTCAATCCCACTACTGGAGGAACTGTGTTCTAGAAATAAATTTGATATTGATGAGGGGCAGGTATAGGCATAAATTCAGAGGCAAGGTACTGTGAGTATTACAACAATGCAACAATAATGAAACAATGCATTGACATTTACTTTTTACATTTGATACTTAAGTATTTTTAAAAACAAGTACTTCTGTACTTTTACTTGTAACAGTTGTCCACCTCTGTAGAAACAGAAAAAAAACTGACAGACTAAATCCAGAAGAACTGCGGCAACGTCTCCAAGACGCTTGAAGAAACAGTAAAACAGCTGTTTCAGTCATTTTTTCACGTCAGCTTATTACTTTTCAAGCTAAACACATAAGAACACAAGAGAGCAGCAGAGCATCACTTACAGCGCAGTAACTTACAGTGATGATCTGCTGCTCTCTTGTGTTTGGATCCAAACATTCAACCTGAATATGCGTTTAACTTGTAAAGCTAACTGAAAAAGCGTCACTGAAAAAATAACACATCTGACCTCCATTTTTAAATACGATTTATAACAACAACAGTTCAACGAATACAATTACAGTTTTATAAAATAAAATAAATTATAAAATAAAAATTGCATGCTGCAATTAATGATTCAGTGATGCAATTTCCATGTATCTTTTCAGATAATGTGTCTTTAAGTGTCTCTTTAGAGAAATATTGTATCATATATTATTATTGAGCAGCAATGGATTCAGTCGTGTCTGACAACTGATAAGTATGTGTTCAATATAATATGATTAGGAAAAAATAAGGTGATGTATAATGATCTATACGAATTTTGGAGATCATAGAGTTCTTTGCAAACTAATTTTATAATACTTTATAGATACTGTAAATAGTTCCATGGTACTACAAATGAATTTCTGTGCATTTACACGTGATGTTATTCAACCATTTACACTGATACTAAACTATGAGGATTTTTTTTATACTGTAAGTATTACAGCCTTCCGCTGTCATTCACATTGATATAAATGGATGATTTTTTAGAAATTGCTTAAATCCCCCTTCAAGAAATTTCTCAGATTGTCCTGTATTTCATGTGTAGCATGATGTTTGAACATTGTGTTCACAAAAAAATAGGTTAATTTTGTCATTATGGGCCAAACCCCAAAAATACACCAGCCCATATGATTAAATTAATTTATCTTCTTTCTTTTTTGTCAGATGTATTAAAGATGAAATTAAAAAAAACTCAAAGATTCTCTTGAATATCATATTTCAGTTCCCTGTTATTGACATCCTCTGTTCAAAGTACAGTACAAAATATTATATTTCAGTTCAAAAGCCTTTTATTCAACATTGGAAAACATAACATCCATTCCCTTCCATCATAAACCTGTTCTTAAAAAAAGAGAAACAAATGTTACTATTTGATGTGCAAATGTCTTCTCCACAGTGCTCTGTATCATGAGCATCATGTAAACATACAATCTGGAATGGCTGCCCTTTACTCTAAGCTGCATTTTTACTTCTAAATACAGTGTTTTACAGTCCATTTAGTCTGCTTTTACAAATGCATCAGCTCACTTGAATATTCATCTTGCCATATGTTGGAAAACAAATTGACAACATTATAAAAAGTAATGCAACTTGCACAACAGAAAGCAATCTGGTACGACTCTGGCACTACTGGTTATCTAATGTAACAATGCAAGTTAACAGTAAAAGTGCTATTTGAGAGACAGCAAATGACTTATGCGTATTAAATCAATATTGTTCATTTAATGGTCATATCTAATTAATAATATCATTTGAAAATTGGTTTCAGTGACTAAAAAAATTGTGCTGCAGTTAGGCAAATTATTTGCACGTAAACACTTGTATGCATAATGCTCTGGGTTTCAGCCATCAGGCATATTGCAGTGGTGCTGTATTGCATTTATTAACAGTATTTTTCAACTTTGAATCACTTGACGTTATTTTACATCCACTTAAGATCTAAAAGCAACAGGTGTGCCCAGCCAGCTGGGCCTGAAACATTTAAGGTCAGTGTGCAGAGCAGTTTAATAGCAGCCGTCCCTCCAACTCCCGTCACGCAGGGCGCTCAGGGCAGATACACTTTTCGGCGGGGTCAGAAAACTGCAACCACAGTGACTCGGGTTAATGACAGCAATACTTCAGAGTATACATTATAGTGCATTTAAAATAACAAGTCTAACATTTTCCAATAAAGATCAGTTTGTTACCATCACAAACTAACAATGAAAAACTATTTTTACAGCATGTACAATTTTTTTTTAATGACCCGAATATAAAAGTTTGGGATAGGTAAGTAATTTTTTATTGTTTTTAAAAGTCTCTTATGCTCAGCAAGGCTGGATTCATTGAGCAAACATACAGTAAAAACAGTAATATTATTATAATGTTTCATATTTAAATACATTTTAAAATGTAATTTATTCCTGTGATGCAAAGCTAAATTTTCAGCATTATTACTCCAGACATTTCCTTCATAAATCATTCTAATATACTGGATTTGATGCTTAAGAAACATTTCTTAATGTTGAAAATAGTTGCGCTGCTGAATATTTTTGTGGAAACTGTGATGCACAGGATTCTTTAGATGAATAGAAAGTTCAAAAGAACAGCATTTATTTGCAATAAAAATCTTTTGTAACATTATACATTCTTTACTATCACTTTTGATCAATTTAATGCATCCTTGCTAAAAAAAAAAAAAACTTAATGATGCACTTTAGGGTAATGCAGATCAAATTGAAGATTGAACTTTATTGAAATGTATTGTAAAATATTTTACATTTACAACTGCATGATAGTAAATTGAATATTTCCAGTACATATTGTATGCTGATTAAAATTGGAATTTAATGCAACAATATTTGCTCAATATAAAAGCCTTCCAATGAAAATAATTCAAAGTCATTATTGTGGCAGGCAAATAAATCACTGAATTACAAAAACTGACTTCAAAAGTCAATATGTTGTTTGTTTTATGTCCA